TCAATAGTGGGACTCATACCATAGATGCATCTAAGCGCTGGTGAAATTTTGTATCCAAATACTCACCATAGGAGAGTGTATACTTGATTAATCTTTCACTTCACAATGAAAATGTCTCTGAAATCGGTTTAAATCAGGAAAAAATAATCACTCTTTAGGAACTAGACGTTTAAGGGTTTGACAGTTGCACAGTCCTTGCAACACGTGATGGCCCTTGAAAAGTTCAGAGTGTCTTTTCATAGTAATACAGGTGCTCTACATTATCGATTCTTTTGATGACTCGTAACATCAGCCCTTGAACTTTAAATAATAAGGAAATCCTACATAAAATACAAAATTGTGACATACTTTGTTTTGCCTCTTTCAATTCTCGGAACAAATTTCAATATACTTTCTTTGCATCGCGTGAAATGAAATCGCGTGATTCGAATGAAAACACTTCACACATTTTGCACGCACTTAACAGTACTCGGAGAGAATAAAGTAGGTAGATACTATGCTTGTGTAAGGATTTGTTTTGAATCGACAAGGAAGTATAATGCATAATGTTTTTTTAGGACGAAACAGATCTATATTATGACAGCCACAGTTCCTAAGGGACACCAAACATTGAAGTCGTCTCAAAAAGAATCCCATGCAAACAAAATTCAAGTAAAATTATTTGAATCTGGTACTCATTGCGCACAAGGCCACAAGGCTCTGTGTTTTCAGATTGACTTGATTGATACCAACTCGCAGGCTTGGTAATACTCAGAATTTGACCGTGAACGCCCACTTTATGCCCTATTGCGGTCACCGAGGCTTTTTTTCCGCGTCGATCTCCTTTCAAAATAAGTATGAAGTTGAGCAGGAAAATCTTACAACAGTCATGTGAATACGTTACGAAAAAATGCAGAGCACCATTCATATTGATATTCACATCAACCATCAGCGATACTTTGCTGAGGGTGAAAGAAGCTGAATAGGAAAGTGTGTAGTTAAAAAAAAAAAAGGTCGTCGAAAAACACCGTCTTTGCGTGTCGGTCGTTCGGCAGAGTTCCCGTGAAATTTTAGGTGAATCAACCTGTCGCTTGGTTGACGTAAGGGCGTATCTGCACTTAGAGATGAGCCCTGTGAGCTGATTATTGACATTGATAGACCAAAAAATAGACAAAGAAGACAAAGGGGAATGAGGCGATCCTATTAGTTGAAACGGGAGGTTGTTATAGACTAAAAGGGAAGTTGGTGCTAGCTAAATGGTCTCTCGTAGGATTACCGTTAGTCCATTACTTGACTCCTTTGTCTATTTCAACCAACCGCTTCCACCGATAGGATCGCCCCATTTTCTCTGTCTATCGCTTTGTCTATCAATTTCAATAATCAGTCTGCTGGAGAGCATTGAGTTATATGATTGACAAGGTTCCTCGCAAAATGAAGTTACGCCCTTATGTCAGGAGGGCATCGACTCTTTAAGAAACAACCATTGAAGTACTAATCTACTAATGACTGATCCAGGTTGAATTCGTACACCGAACTTGTATTATAAAGGGATTGATTCTTTATCGCTCGATGCGGCCTGACTCTTTCCACCGAAGAAAACGAGGCTCATTTACTATCAGAAAATTCGAGCAAATCATCCACTCCGTGAACATTACGTGACAAATCCGATACGATTGACAGGATGTGTAATTACGCATGACGCTAATCAACGAACGACGGTGGCTTAAGATACGAAGAGGCTCTCCTCACCGTTCCGACCTTGAACTGGGAGTATTTTGACGGAACTAGTCGCTTTGACAACTTGCCCACTTTCATTTTCCTCTCGAATCGAGTTCATTGGCTGCGTGCGCAATCGGCGTGGCGCGCCGCGCCGTGGCGTGGCGGGGCACGGGAATATAGCACCTTCATTCAAAGAATGTGGAACTCATCCTGACGAAAGTTGCTAGAGGCTTTTTCACTATCTAAATTATTAAATAATAATTACTGCGCTAAGAGAAATGAAATCAATGCAATCAATTCATTTTTTTAGAATCCCAAAAGGGGTTGAAAGACTTCGAAACCATTCCCCATTTAAATATCCCGCCCCAAACATCAAGCTACCTAAAATAATTGAGAAAAAAGCCTGGCGCGGATGGTCTTGGACACATTGTATAGACTTTCCAACACTGTATCACGACTGATCGCTAGATGTAGTGAACAGTGTTAATTCCCGAGGAACATCAACTAAGGAAATAGTGTCCCATTAATGAGAAGAGATCGATTAAACTTGTTTTTTAACCCAGAAACTGCAAAAAAATTTCACTTTCCAATGGGTACATTTTTCCATTTCATTTATTAAACGACACTCTTGTAGAGTAAGACGGGGGTGGGGTTTCTTATGCTAAAATCTCAGTCTCTATAAACAACACATTCAGTGATGTTGACAATGAACTCTTGATACAACTATTCGCACTGTATGGACACGCGTGTTGCATATGAAAAAACGGAAGGCGCTCCGTCGCTCCAATACAGTGCAAGCAGCAACGAGCGGCTCGCGCCGCCGCGCGTCGCGTCACCTATGTGGTCTGTGTGCCATCTATATGTGGCAGGATGAAGTTCTCATGTAAAAACTACGGCAAAAAGGCAAAAACATATTGGGATATTATATTCTCCGCCACATTAAGGAATGACAACAGCGTGGCGGTGCGTGCACTGCTTAATGGTTCAGAATAACCGGAGCGCCTTCAATGTTTAGCACGCAACACGGATGTCCACAGAGCACGAACATTTGCATCAAGGCGTTAGCACCACTATCATTGTCCTTTGCTCGGATCTTATTAATACTGAAGCGTGAAAGAAAAACGCAGTAAAACGCGAGAGTTACCAAATGTCCTCCAGTTATACACGAATTTTCTAGAAAACTTGTAAGCTTTTATTTCACCATTTTTTGCAGATTTGCTGCGCAATTTCATCTAATGATTCTAAAAATTTCAAGGGAATGTACACTTAATTTTTAATTTTTTATTTTTACTGAAGAACTGAATAACACTCGCAACTTCACATCATTGAGAGCAAGGCATGCGAAAGTCAACGTGTTTTCTGATGAACACTTTCATTTCGTGGAAGTGCAAACTCTCATACGACTTGCAAGTGGCACTCATTACTTATCCGGTAAAATAACCGATAAAATCTTGAACGCTACATAGAAAAACAGCCAAACACACACAGTCAGAATTAAAGTGTCGCTTTAAACTCCCAATTATTTTTTTTCAAACTCGACAGTCCACAGAACAGCAAGTCCGAGAGTCAACTCTAAAATCGCATATCAACGATTGGGGGCAGAACCTATCGTAACCAACACGTTCGGAGAAATCAAGCAACGAATTTGCATTTGAATAGTGCATATATTGGGCATAATTTTTCACTTCTTCCCTGGTTCACACAGTGACGAGGTAATGAGTTCTCAAAGGTTTTTTTCATGGCTCGGGATAATAAAAAGTTTTTAAATACGATTACTTTCGGTTTAATGACTCTGGACCACGGAATTATCTCCGGTCAGTTGCAACGCAGACAGTCATCTTTTCCGTCAGTCAACGCAGACGTTTTGGATTTGACAATTTCTAATTTCTCCATCGGTTGCATTTTATAGGAGCAATCAAGAAGAAATTAGGGCATCATTTCAAAAAATTTGAACCCTTGAATAAGGAAGAAGAAAAAGTTACGACGATCGCAGTATTTTTTGTCAGTAAATCTTGCGAGGCAAACGGATTCCTGGTGCTAACTGAAAAGCGGTCTTATATTCATTATTGTGTTCGTATTTTCATAAAAATTTTACGACAGTATTCATAGGGTAATAAGAAACATGATTTCCAGTTTGATGGATTTTTGGCGCGTAGCGGATTCCAATGGACATTTCATTGGTTCATATAAAGCACAAACTGACTGTTGAGTGTCGGTGCTTTAAAACCCTTTGGTTTTCCATAACTGTTTTCGGTACTTAAGACTGGAGCCAACGAATAACTTCGCTGCAGCGTAAACAAAAACTCCAGGCTCTTCCATTCATAACTAATCATTGATATTTCTCCACTTAATCCCAGTGTAAAGGTACATGCTCAAAGCTACAGTGAAGTCATCAAAATTTCAAAATCAATTTATTTTCATTTCATGCTCATATTAAGAGTAATTCAGACCAACACTAGTGTGACATCAGTATTAATGTCCATCCAACATCAATATGAACTACATTCGCTGTCAATCTAACGTCTGGGTCCTAATCGGTTTGATATCAATGTGAAGTCAGAAAGATTAGCAGGTAAAAAGCTGATTTGTCTTGAGAAAAAGAGTCAGTTTGACCAGTCTGATGTCACCCATTAGGATGACATCAGACTCACATAGCGATGGCATCAGACCCACATAGCGCAGTGCAATGGAAATATTGAAATAAAACTGCAATCAAAGGCAATTAAATTGCAATTTTTTACCATAAAATTGTGAAATGTCAATATAAGTCGAGTTTAAACGATCGATAAAATGAGCTTAATGTATTAGAAAGACAGGCAGCTCGCAATGCAAAAGCAAATTGCAACTTACTCTAGTTACATTGCGATAAATAGAGGCATTATTCGGTAAAAGGGCGAGTAAGACCTCCAATGCTGCTAGGATTCTGCAACTTAGTCTTCTAGTTGAAAATAACTCATCCCACAGTTCTGTAATTCATTTTTCTCTGAATCTGCTCCGAGTTTTTTCTCACTATTCAAAGGGAGTGTGTCGACTGTGGATAAATTCCATCTGCCGCAAACGCTATAAAAAATTGCACAACCTTAGCAGCATTGCACACGTCCTTTTACCAAAAAACTCTTTATAGTTTCAACAGGAGGTGTCCTTTCAATTACCAGATAGGCATTCTACACAACACACTGAGGCACTATATAGGAATAATTTCACCATGTAATAATATTTATTGCAATATGTGCTACTTGGTTGTCGAACTGACAACGTTTTGAAAGAAATGTGAGTTAAAAGAAATTTATTCCAAAACTTACTGGCATGAACGGTCGACCGCAGAGACAGACCGCTGAAGCTGAGTATGCACACCACTAAAAACTGAGCCAGATCCATGTTTGCTCATAAAAAAACACACACACTTTCAGACAGTATCGTGCACGGCTACAAAGGGTCAAGATTCACGTCACTGGACACAAGTCATTTCAGAATTCGGAAGGTGGATGCGAATCGCGGTTCGCGAAAGGCGTAGCGATAATCGGAGGGAAAAGTGAGCGAAGTGAAAGGAGAGCAGGAGACCGGTAGGACGCGGGGTGGACTCGCGAGTCGGTCAGGAGCACGGCGACGACGGAACGAGGTTAAGACGCGAGATGTTGCGTGGCCAAGACAACATTTCCAACTGTTGTCTACCGGCTTCCCTGGCAACTCCCGGCCCGGCCGGTGTCGGAGGCTTCGCGGTCGGGCCCGGTAGGAGGAGGCGCAGGTAGCACGCAGCGACACCGCGCACACCTGACCAGGCCGCGGCCCCGGGTGGAGGAGGGACACCCCCCCCCCCCNGGAGGGCCCCCGGACTGGTCAACGGCGGGAACGGGTACCCCTCGCCCCCACCCCCCGCACCCCGCTTCCGCTCACGCCGGGAATCTCCGCTCGTTAAGCTGCGTAGGAAGACGCTGCTCCGTAGCGTCTACCTTAACACCCTCCCTCCCCCTCTTTGTACCATACGTGAGAGGTAATTGAACTTACACGCGGTTTAAAATTTCCGTGTTTATGGTTACTTTTTTTCGGTCAGATAAACTAGAGTACCTGTATAGGGAGAGTACCGACAGATCTGAAACTCCGAAAGTCCATCAGGCCTCCACCGATGCCTCCGCGAATAAAGTTAGGGCCCAAAAGGGCAGCCAACCTATGAATTTCAATTATCCAGAGCGATTTACTGATACTATTGTTACGAGCCGTCCTTTATTAAGCACGTGTTTGACTCAGATTTTGCATAAATTTACTCAATTTCGCGGAAGAACGCTCATTTCTGTACATTCTTGGCCATCTTGGTTAGAATTGGAATCTGCAGACTGGCGGTGAAATTTTGTGCGTTAGAAGTTGGTTAGAAGGGTGGCTGCACTTTTGGGCCCTAAGCCCTCCATGAACTGATCTGTCAGTACTCAAACAAAAAGGACTGGTTGATCGACCTTTTTGGTTGAATCAACTAAGATCGTATTGTACGCTGAGATATCGGGGGATGAGGATAATGTCCTGCCGAACTACGGTCGTTGTTGTACCACAATGTTACTGTACTCCTGATTCTCTCTGTATCATGTGATGATTAATCCAATTTTTTGCATTTTTGGCGCTTCAGGACGATTTTTCCGGAAATTTGGCAACGCACGGAAAAGTTACAAATCACATTTGTATGTATTTTTTTACGTTCTTTCCGAAAATGTACACGGTTTTTAGATTAAAATAAATTTCATACACATAAACTTGAAAAAACCCTTAAAAATTGGTGGAAATTGGCAACAATGGACCGTTAGGCCTTTTAAAAATTCACAGGAAGCCATTTTTATGGCCAGATATGAAAAGTACGTGGAAAAATACATATAGAACACACGCATAGAGGGTGACTTAGGTCGAAAAACATTCAAAAGAGCTACCTTCAAGTAAAACAAGCAGGAAGCTCCAACGCATTCGCGTCGGAGAGCGGCTCTGGCGACAGTAGTTGTAGTCAAGAATGAGGGCCTAGACACATTTTGTCACTGATGTACGATCCGACAACTGTCGATTCATGTTTTGTAACTTAGCAGATTTACGTAGCCGGTGTATAAATGTGTATTGGCCCTTGATATGCAGAATGCATGGCACTATCACTTGTTGTATACTTTT